TTCTAATAAATGCACTCAATGCTATTAATTTCCCTCTAAACACTGTTTGCATTGCATCCCACAAATTTTGATAAGTTGTGCTTTGTTTTCAACTAGTTAGAAGTATTTTTAAATTTCTTTTGAGATTTCTTCTTTGACAAATGTGTTATTTAATCTCCAAGTCTTTTGTGATTTTTTTTCCTAGATTTTTTTTTGTTGTTGTTTTTGTTAATGATTTGATTTCTAGTTCAATTTTATTGTGGTCTGAAAGCAGACATTTTATGATTGCTGTTCTTTTAAATTTGTTAGGATGTGTATTATGGGTTAAAATGTGAATGGTTGAAAGAACATTTCATGAGTTTGAGAAGAATACGTATTATGCTGTTTTGGGATGAAGTGATCTATAGATATCCATTACATTCAGTTCATGGATGATTTTGTAAAGTTCAACTATTTTGTTATTGATTTTCTTCCTGTAAGATCTGTCCATTACTCATAGAGTGGGGTTGAATCAACTACTTTGAAAACATCTCTTCCTCCTTGCAATTCTACCAGTTTTTACTTCATGTATTTTGATGCTCCATTGTTAGGTATATGCTCACTAAAGATGGCTGTGTCTTTTTTAAGAATTGATCCCTATATTATCGTGTAGTGCCCTCTTTGTCTTTGATGGCTTTTCTTGGTCGGAAGTCTGCCTGCCAGACTATTGCTGCTACTTCAGCTGTCTTTTGATTAGTGACAGCAAGGTAAATCCTTCTCCATACTTTTTTCCTACATGTGCTTTTATATTTAAAGCGGGTTTCTTGTAGACATCATGGGTTTGGGTCTTGTTTCTTTTCATCTCTGACAATCTTTGTCTTTTTTTTTTCCTTTTGTACCAGGAATTGAACCCAAGGGTGCTTAACCACTGAGCCACATCCCCAGCCCTTTAAAAAAATTATATATATAATTTAGAGACAGTAACTTAGGGCCTCACTAAATTGCTGAGGCTGGCTTTGAACTTGGGATCCTTCTGCCTCCACCTTCCGAGCTGTGTAATCACAGGTGTGTGCACCTGGCAGTCTTTGTCTTTTAATTGGTCCATTAAAACCATGGATATTCAGGGTAATTATTGATACAGTTGGATTAACAACTACTGTATTTGTTACTGTTTTCTATTTGTTTTTCTTATTTTTTATTCTTTTTGTCTCTTTTTTCACCTTTTATTGTAGTTTTAATTGAACATTTTATGTGATCTTTGACACACAACAAGTAGTTATACTACTTCTTCGAGTGTGTGTGTGTGTGTGATTGCCTCAGTATTTGCGATATGTATTTACAACAAATCAATCCAAATCCATTTTCAAATAACACCATACTACTTGATGAGAATGTGAGTTCCTTGTAATAACAAATTCTAATTCCTCCCTCCCATCACCTGTATTGCTTTCTCTCAGTTCACATATACATAAGCATATATATGTGCATACACATATATATGAACATAAAATCATTAATCTTTTTGCCATTATTTTGAACTGCTATCTATTAGAACAATTAAGAATAAAAAAGAAAAGCTTTAGCTTCACTTATTTATTCTCCAACTTTCTTCTTTTCTTTTTGGTTTTATTATTTGTCGGGGGCGGGGTGGGGTGGACAAAGTATCTCTATGTTGTCCAGGCTGGATTTGAACTTGTGATCCTCCAGTCTTAGCCCACCAAGGGGCTGTTTTACAGGTCTTCATCACTGCACTCAGCTTCTCTTCATTTATTTATATAGATCCAAGTTTCTGATCTTATCATTTTTCTTTTCTCTAAAATATTTCTTTTAACCTTTCTTGTATGGCAGGTCTATTGGCAATAAATTCTGCCAAGTTTTGTCTAAGAAAGACTTTGTTTCTACTTTGCTTTTAAAAATACTTCTTCAGGGTATAGAATTCTAGGTTGGTGCTTATTTTTTTTCTCTCTCTCAACACTGAATATTTCACTCCACATTCTCTTTGCAGATTTTCTCTTTGTTTCTCTATAGGTAAAGTATTTTTTTTTCTTTCAGTTTTTTTCAGGATATTTTTACCTTTATCTTTGATTTTCCTTACTTTGAAACAATAAACCCAGCTGTGATTTTTTGGGTTTTGTTTTTGTTTTTGTTTTACCTTTATTGTGGTTGATGGTCTCTGAGCTCCCCCTGGATCTGTGATTCAGTATCTGACATTAATTTGGGGAAATTCACACATCATTATCATTCCGAATATTTCCTCTATTTCTTTCTCTCTTCCTTCTCTTTCTAAAATTCCCATTCTGGGTAAGTCTAATGATTTATATTTGTTGTGCAATTCATTTATATCCTGTGCTGGGCTTTTTTGTTTAGTTTTTTTTTCCTCTTTGTTTTTCATTTTTGTTAGCTTCCATCAAGATATTTCCAAGCTCAGAGACTCTTTCTTAGCTATTTCCAATAAACCCATCAAAGACATTCTTCATTTCTGTTACTTCTTTTTTTAATCTAACATTTCTTTTGATTTTTGCCTTAGAATTTCTACTTCTCTGCTCTCCACGGCCTATCTGTTCTTGCCTTCTGTCTACTTTATCCATTGGAGCCCTTAGCCTCTTCATCGTAGTTGTTTTAAATTCCTGAGTAGATGATCCCTTCATCCCTACCAGATCTGAGTCTGGCTCCCATGTCTGCTCTGTGTCTTTCAGCTGGGTTTTGTTTGGTTCTTGCTTTTTAGTAGGTCTCGTCATTTTTCCTCATTCGCTACATGTGATGTCCTGGGTAAAAGGGACTGCTGGAAACGGGCCTTTAGTGATGTGGTGGTACATTGTGGGAGAAGGGGAAGCATTTCACAGGACCATCAAAGGTGTCCTGTCTTGTAGAGAGCCATACCTCTGCACTGTGAACTCCATGTGTGTTTCTCACTTTTTCTGTGCCCCCTTTCAGTGGGGGAAGATGACTAGTGTGGACCAAAAGTGGGTATTGCCTTTCCCCCAGTCCAGTTAGGCTCTGATGAAACCTGCGATGGATCTGGTTTAATAGCTTCTCCTGTGGGGAGATCTTGTTAGGAAAAACAGAGTGCTCAGGCACATTTCAAATAACTACTCTTCCCTTCCTCCTTCCAGAAGCATGAGAACATTTCTCTCCAAAATCACTGCGAGAACCTGTTTGAACTCATGCAGGTAAAATTCACAGGAGTCTGGGGTCCTCCAGTGTCTCTCAAGCTTGACCATGTTGAGCCTCGCAAGCTCTTCCAGTTCTTCCACCTCGACTGGTTCCCACAGAGTCCCCTGCCAGGGCAAGCCTGGTGCTTTTGCAATTTCTTGTCATTCTCTTCAATTGGGGCCCAGTGGTTGGCCTTGTGATTCCACCTCTCTGGTGGATCTTAGGTTTGCTGATTTTTCAATTTGCTCAGCTTTTTAGTTGCTGTTAGAAGAAGTGGTGACTTCTTACATGTTGAACTAGAAATCAGGAGTCCTTAGTGGACTCTCTTAATCTGGAAGCTGTCCTTCAATTCTGAAATCATCTCATGGACAATAAATTCCTTTCTTTTCCCAACCTTCTCATTCTAAAATGCCGCTCAGATTTTGGACCTAATGGACTTGTGCTGCTATTATATTTGTAATTTCCAAAAGCCCTCTGTATTCTTTGAATATTATTTTTATAACGCTCTGTTCTTTTTGTGTGTGTGTGTGTGTGTGTGGATGTGATGTTTTCACATGCTTTGGAGCATATGAATAATTTGCTGTTTGAACTTTTCTCTCTTGCTTCCAATGTTTCTGCTTGTTTGTTGAATCCCGATCTTTCATGTTGGAGGCTTTCCCCATTTCCATGGAGATCCTTGACTATCTGCTCCTATTGAAGAAGGGATCAAAAAAGACTGAAATCTCCCCATGAGTCAGAGGAGCCCAGCGATTGCAGGATTCACTTCAGGGCCACATAGCTGGGTGGTTTTATTGGGAAACCCTCCATGTCAGTGTTATTAGGTCTCCTCTACTGAGCTGATAAGATTTTTTAGAGCAAGTATTTTCTAATATCCTGCCTGAAACATAGCATGAACATTCTGCCTGATATTTGCCAGCTCAGTCCCAATATTTAATGGAAAATTTTACTGAATCCCTCTGTGTTGAATGTCCTCCCCTGCTGTCAACCATGCATAGCATCCACCATTCAGAGACTGTCCATCTACCATCCCCAGAGCATAAACCCCAGGTTCCTGCCGGACAGTGATGATCTTCATGGTACAGGGAAGAGAACCTGGGGTCTAATTACCTCTGAGACAGAACTTTCACCTGTCCTTCCAGCGCAGCTCACCTTATTCCTCCATCTAGAGGGACCCAGTGCCACCAAGACCTATGTATTTTGTGGATTTTAGGGATGAATTAGTTTGCACCTTGACTTTCCTCATTGCTGCCTTGGGATTGATTTGACTTCTGAGATCCTGCTATTGTTTCTTCCCCTGACCTCTGTCCTTGTGGTTTATGTCTTATTTTTATTAAGTTTAAAGTAATTTTTAAGGGTTTCAGTGAAGAGTAAAGCCCGAGGCACTAGTGAAGTTGCTATCTGTAACTGAAATTTCCCTGTCTACCATTACCCCTTCCCCTGCCCTGATGGCAGCTCTGTGCAATCTAGGTACCCAGTCACTGTGGTAGGACCCTGCTGTGCCCGTTGATTTTGACCCTCTGGGGCTGGTTGACTATGTGCTTGAGTCTCTGAAGGTTGAATGGTCCACCCCTAAACACTAGCTGTGAGTACTTCTCTTAGGCCATCTCTGACCAGTGGATGGATCTAGTTCTGCTGTTGAGAATCTGCCCTTGCCCCTAGCTCTGGGTTGCCAGGAATAAACTGTAGGGCGAAGTCCAGATACGATATCAGGACCGTCCTGTTTAAGGCACAGGGAAGTAACAGCAGGATGGTGGCTCAGTCTCAGCTCTGTGAGGTAGTCTCCAGATCTGGTCTCCAGCTTTTAATTCAGGTGTAGGACTTTCCCAGGTCCCAGGTAATCAATATTAGGAAACAGACTCAGGTGAATCAAACTCAAGAAAAGACTAAGCCACTTTAGGGAGTATTTATTTATTAATTTATAACAGGCTATCTGTTTTCCCAATAACTGAAACATTTATGTCCGTAGGACATTCCTTCTTGAAATAACAATCAAGTTTTCAGATATATTCTGTACACAGGGATATACTAGTTATATTTACAGACGTTGGTTTCATTCAGAATAACTCTGTGAGGTGTTTTCCTGGTTCCATCCACCAGGAAACCATGTATTCATGGAGGCTGAATTAACTTTTCAGAGATTACAATGTCAGTGAGAGACTCAGAACTCTTTGGCTCCAGGGTCTGTGGGTCAGAACTTGAGGGCCACAGAACGAGACACAGAATAAGAAGGTCTCACAAGAATCCCGCTGTGGTGGAATTTAGGAGTCAACAAAGGTCTTTCCGAAGATGACCTGTGACTGTCTTGAGAGAAGAGAGAGGACTGGGGAAGGGACAGGTGAAAAGAACAGGCAGTGGGAACAGCATGCGTAATGGCCCTGAGGTGGCAACACTGGTGCACTTAGAGTGACAGAAGTCCAGTGAGCAGGTGAGTCCTGAGGAGCCCGACACCGTAGATTGAGTGACAGAAGACGGACAGGAGGACTCACATGAAGCCACCAGCTTACAGCTGGGACCCCCTTGAAGCTAAGCTGGCCCAACAGCTAGAAGGAGACTGCGATTTGGGGGATGGTAGGGAGGCTGCCCCCCAAACCATGTGTTCTATCTTCACGTGACCCCATAGGATGTTCCATTCCTATAAATTATGTGAATACTTTTTCCCAACATGGCCGGCTTCCTTGTATTAGAGATTTTCTAAGAATTAGTTCAATGTGCTATAACTGTTTGTTTTTCTCATAATAATGCATTCTCTATAAAATCATTGTTTTGAACAATCGTTGATAATTAATAATTTGAGGGCCAGTAGACCTGCGGTTCTCCAACTTGAATGCCTGTTGAGATGATTTTTAAAAGAAATACAGATGTTGGACCGGGGTGTGGCCCCGTGGTGGAGCACTTGCTACCACGGGGCAAGGCTCAGGTTGAGTTCTCAGAGCCACATAATACAAACAAACAAACAATCAAAAAACCCCAGGTGCTTGGTCTCCTACCTAACCTACTTGAATCATCTGTTGTTGTTGTTGTTTTTTTTTTCTCAAGTTTCACAAGCTGTTCTTATGCAGCTGGGCTAACCAATTGTCAGAAGGCTCACGCTCTGGGTCAGGGACAGTGGCAGTTGTACAATGTCAAACAGGTGAATGGTGGCAGCACAAAGCTCAGGCCAGGCCTGTTTCCTGCCTCTCAGTGGAGACTCCAGCAGGGCAGGAGTGTGTGTGCTGTAGACGCCGTACCTTCCCTTCCCTTCCTCTCCGTTGGCCAGGTGGCTCGGGATACTTTCAATATGGCGCTGTGGGCCAAGTTGAGCGATGGTCACTGTTCTCAAAAAGCTTATGAACTGGGTATTTCATTCATTCTAAAATGTACTCTTTTCATGTTTTCACATCTCAGTAACAGAGTTGTGCCTACAACTTTGATTGTATCCTTAGCACTTGCTATAGTAGAACCGAGAGTGTTTTTCCTTTGCGTGATGTATATGCCACTTAAAAGCAATGATGCCTTCAAATGGATGAAGCACAGTAGCTGAAGGAGGAACAACATTCTTGTGCGAACAGGTAGCCAATATAAGCCTTGCCTGTGCTGTTCCCTCTCCATGGACAATCTTGTCCTCGGCTTCACCAGCTCCACTAATCTAGCACAACTCAACTCAAACGTCACCCCCTCTAGGAAGCCCTCTGCGTCACCCAGTCCTACTAAAAGTCTAGACTAAAAGGCTTTTTCTGGGCTCCTGTGCTTGTCTCTGACCTTTATTTATCACACTGTGTTACACTTGCCCCCAACTCCATGTGACGTCCCTGAAAGCAGAGATGTAAGTGTATACCTCTGTGTCCCTCAAGCAGCCTAGCACGGGGCCTGATGCATACAAGAAGCTCAGCAACTGTTGAATGAATGAATGGTGAAGGACTGAAGAGTTACAGGCTGTATGTGTTCTGTTACTGCATGTCACCCCAGGTAGCTATAGAAGAAAGGCAGGGTATAGGGCTGGAGGCCAGGGAAGGCTTTGTATAGGGAAGGATAGGAGCTATTCTACCAGGACGGCCAGTGGAATAAATCACTCAGGACTGCAATGAGGATTGAGACAGGCCAGGTACGGAAGTGTACTCCTGTAATCCCAGCTACTAGGGAGGCTGAAACAGGAGGATCGCAAGTTCGAGGCCAGCCTCAGCCACTCAGTGAGACCCTTAGCTTCCGTGAGACCCTGTCTCAAAATTTTAAAAGTCAATAAATAAAAAAAATGGCGAGGGATATAGCTTAGTGGCAAAGTGCTCCTGGGTCAGGGGTTCAATCCCTGGCGCCCAAAACAGAAGAAGACTGAGACAGAGGCAGCGCCAGGGCCGGCATACTCCTCCCGCAGACGCTGTAAAGAGTGTTACCCAGCTGGATTGTGTGTTTGACTCTCGGGAGCCTCTGGCGTTTAATTCATCACGGCCCTTTATAATTAACTCTGGGTTCTGAAACAATAGATGCCCAGATTCAGAGGAAAAAAGCATTTCAACTCTCAGTGAGCTCTCACAGGAAGTCCTGAATATACTTCATCTTTGTGGTTTGCCCCCAGAGCTTCCTGCCAGAGTTAACAAGGTTTAACAGGTTTGAGGAGCCCAGGAGAAGGTGGGCAGACGGCACCACAAGCCTGGCACTGACGCTTCAAAGCAGGAGTCCTCGCAGCCTATTGTTTTAGAACTGCAACAGAAAACTCTTCTTTATCTCCCCACTTCTTCCAAAGTACAGCTAGCAGTCAGCCGGCTGGGGATGGCCTCTGTCTTCTTACTGGTCATTTGTGAGACTCAGGATTTGTTTGAACACAGCCGGCCCTCGTGTGTGTTGTCTGATGAGCTCACAGTGCCTCGGATATTCCTGGATTCCTCTTTTCAAGGATGACTCCACAGATCATCCAGACCACTAGTGATGGCTCAGGAGAGTGAGACCCAAACACTTAAGCTTTCTGGTGACTCACGTTGAAGTTTGTGCTGAGAGGTGTTGATTCACAAATCGCCACGGAGATTGTCAGGACCCAGCTTTGCTTCTGAGACCTGGGGAGGGGCAGGGGAGAATGTTCTGGTCACTCTAGTGGGGATTCAGGTGGCTCGGGTGATGCCACACCAACGAGGCTCTTTCTCACCCTGCAGCTTCCTCCGAGTAACACCCAGCTGTGTCCTTCAGTGAGCAGACCCCAGGGTCAAAGCTAAGCTGTTATTTCACTCCTTCTCAAGGATGGGGAGCAAGTGTCCACTAGGACACGTAAGAAAGCTGAAAGTCCTTTGAGCAGATGGGAGGCCTGTAGGGGACACAAGCCCAAGTAACCCCCGGGCATATGGCATCTGCACGGGATGTGAGAGGGAGACGAGATTGCCAAGAGTTTTGTGCACTGTCATGAATCATCCTCGCAATCACACTCCCATTGTTTCTCTCTTCTTGGTGACAGAGATCTATGAAGAGGCCACGGATCTTCAACCACATGGCTGAGGACCATGGCCTGCAAGCCCTGGGAGGCGACAAAGTCTTACATGTTGCAAACGTTTGATGGAAAAGTGGACCTGCACACCCAGAGCTGAGAACTCCAAAGAGCCTTTTTATTGGAAAGGACAGTTTTAATCGGAGGAAGGGGACGGTGAATTTTCTGCCACTCCACGGGGAGGTTTTGGTTGAACTCGAGGTCTGGGGAGGGGAGGGCCTCTCTGCTGGCGAACCTGTGTGCCTGATGGGGGAGCCCTCTTTTGTGGCTGGTGCTGGACACGATGACCGGGAGGCAAGGGACGAGGACCAGGTGTCTGGACACGATGACCAGGTGGTGGCGGAGGTTGGGAAACTGCTGGATTTGGAGGAGGTGAGGTGGAGATCTGGCTGGGCTTTGGGCTTCTGTCCTCAGAGGTGGTTCTGTGAGCTTTTACCTCCAGCTCCTCATCTGCAATGACAAAATCACTCAAGAGCTTATTCTGGCAAGAGGTGATCCGGGGAACTATGGAGCGCCTCGGAGGGGCAAGGCTTTGGAGAAAGCCAAGAGGAAGCAGGGACAGAGCTGTCCCTAGGCTCCAAGAACTCTCAGTCTTGTTGGGGCAGGAGAAATGCTGACCACAAGCTGGAGGGAGGCCCCAGGGCTTTGCAGAATTCAGGGACACAGAGCGGGGGAGGCACCTAGCAGGGAGAGCTTGGTGCTCGCGCCAGAGAGCAGACAGCGCTCAAACCCAGGTCTGCCTCGGTGCCGGACCACCCTAGACCCGGGTCCTGAGAGCAAACCTCGTGATCAGAGTCTGTTGTCGGGGAATCTGAGTCGTCTCAGAGGAGCTACATTCCTTCTGTCGGGTCTCTGTGTGGATATGCTCCTACTCAGTCTGTTGTCAGGCAACCTACATTCTGGCGACAGGTTGGAGCACTCACAAGGGGCTTTTTAGTCCTCAGAAATTGACTAGTTCCTTGGAAATTTGTGCACAAGACCCATCCTCTTGGGCCAAGGAAGGAAAGATTCTTCTTCCCTCACCCTTTGGGATCTTTCTGCTTTGTGTGACTTTAGCCCATGAAGACAGCCCAGGACTAATCAGAATATAGTAGTTTTTCCTGTACTGTTTTCAAGTCACAAAGGAAATCTGTGAGGCTGCCTCGCTGCCATAGACAGAGGGGGTTCTGCTGGCCCCCTCTGGCCTCCAGGCTAGGAGTTAGGTATTCCAGTCCCACATACAAGACCATCCTCACAGGCTGCAGAGGCAGGCCGGAGTAGATCCCCCCCTGGGGTAAATTAGTGATCTCTTGCACCTTTATGGTGCTGTGGCTTGGGAAGCACAGTCCCTCTGAGCATCACCTGTAAGTTCAGGCAGATGATGCCAATCCAATCAGCCTCCTCTGGCTGCTGGAAACACAAACATCAGGCGGCTCTGAACATGAAGGCTCAAAGTCAGATAATGTGGTTTTGACATCTGTGTGGCCCGGGTGCTCTAAGCGCCTAGACAGAAGGGCCCAGAGAGGACACAATGCATCCTGTCTGCCATCTTTGGTGCCCAGAGGTAGCTGAAGTTATGCTCAGGAGGATGCAGAGAGGACTTTGACCCTCAGTCCCAGTTCTGGGTATGGAGCAGTGAGCAGTCCTGCTTCACCCCATGTGGCAAGCTTAGGCTGCCATTTGTGATTGGTGTCTGTCCTGCTTCTCATTCGTTTGCTCCTCCTACACTGATGGCTGACCTCCTAGGTGTTAGGCACTATTACTAAGTGGCAATCATGACTCAGACACACTGTCCTCAGGAAGTCTAAAATCACGTAAGACAAAGTGAGGACAGCAAATCACAATACCAGTCTCAGGATTGCACAGGGCCACCAGAGAGGTGCCAAGAGCCACAGTCGCAGGGTGAGGAGTAGGGCGTGGCCTAGTGGCTAAGCTCTTGGGCAGGTTCGGACGGACAAATCAGCTGTGGCTCTGCACAACCTGCCAGGTCAGAGCAGCACCACAGGTCCCCAGCATGTCCACTCCAGTAACGTCCACACCTGCTCCCAGGAGTTCTTCCCGGCTCATCGGCCCTTCCCTTCACCTGCATCTCCTTGTTACTCACCCAGGCTTGGGACTGAAGTGAGACAAAGGAAGCTCAGAGGGTGTGGGATTTAAGGAGGTGCCCACTTGCAGGGCATGCAAGAGGAAGGTGAGGGCCTCCTTAAAGGTTGTGCCCTTGGGCTCCCTGCCTCCCCCTGATCCTGACTCAGCTTCCTGGTCACAGAGCTTGAGGCAAAGAATGTAGCCTCCCTGATGGGGGTGAGGCTGTCACCTGTGGTGGTGTTTTCTCTCCCAAGGCCACTGGAGGCTGGGTGGGAGGGTGAGTGCCAAGCCTAGAGGTCAGTTTCTTTGTCAACATGAGCTAATTATCAGGTGGGTCACTACAGCCTGGTGAGATCAGGGGCTGCTCTGTCTTGGGGAGACCTGGGAGGTCTACCTTGGAAGAGACCATTGGTGATAAGAAAGGACCTTTGTAGGGAAGGCAGGCTGAGCAAGGCACAGAGCTGAGGAAGCCACAGCACCTGGGGGACTCACCAAGGGACTGTTTTAAATTTAGAAAGACGTGCCCAGCTCCCTAGTGGAGTACGGTGAGACATGGGGCCGGGGGTGGCCACCTAAAGGGGTGGCTGAGAGAGAACTGTGGAAAGAAGTCTGAAGTAAGGCGTCAACGCCAAAGGGTGCAGGGCCCGAGGATCCTGGGTGGCTGCACACCAGGTCCCCGGCTGTGCGGGAAGTTGCTGGTGGGCGTGGCCTGGGAGCTCTAGGAAGAGACGCCTGGCGAGGGGCCGCAGTCCTGGTATGAACCAGAGATGGCACAGGACTCCACGGCTTGCCTGCACAGCTGCCTGCCCAACTGGTGGCGGATACCCCAACCCTGCACCTACAGCGACACCTGGTCTGTCCCTCCCTGCTGCGATCTGCCTTAGGTGGTCTGGATCTCCACTCACGAGCATGACCTTTTCATGACTGGTGGGTTGCGAGACAGGACTGACCCAAGGAAACAGCACCCCCATCCCTAATGCATCCCTCCTGAACAGTCAGTTAGAAAAGGGGGTACAGAGACCTGTTTGGGAGGGTTTTGTTTGTTTGTAGTGCTGGGGAGGGAACCCAGGGCCTAGCCCAAAGGCAAGAGCGCTGCATGAGCCACACCCCCAGTTACCTAGTTCCCAGGAGCTTGGTATTGACCAGGGCCACTCAAGGTCTGCAGATGGACAAGGTATTTTCGAACGAATCTTTCTACCCACATGGAGCTGTGAGGCCCTTTGGCGTCTCTCTGCGCCAGCCTTAGACGCACTCAGCCTCAAGCGGGGATTCCGATGAGACCAGCCAGGATGTAGCTCCTCAAACTCCCTCGCCGTGGGCCCCAAGAATGCTTTTTTTTTTTCTTTCCAGAATTCAAGCTAACCACAAAGTGGAACAAGCTCTAGCTTCTGGTTCCCGTCCTGACGTTCTGAAACCATCTCCTTCTTTTCTTTGAGGACCCAAGGTGCCATCCCCTTGAGATGACTCCGTGGGGATTTTGCTGCGGCCTGGGGTGACACAAAAGAGGGGGAGCTCACCGTTGCGCCTGCTGTTCTGCTTTTTCCTCTTGCTGACATAGAAAATGAGCAGCGCCACAAAGAACAGGAGGAGGCCTCCCGCACAGACACCAGCGACGAGATAGATGTTCAGACCTTCCCCTGAAAGAGAAGAGACAGGAGACTCGGTGGGGAGGAAGGGTCCTGGGAAGCCCATTGCATTGCTTCAGGCTAAGGACCCCAGCTTCCCACTTGAGGAAGAAAGAAGAGCTTGATGGTACCATTCAAGGTCACAAAGGGCCAAGCTTAAGGAGGGTGGCGAATTGGGTCCATGCCTAGAAGAGGTCAAGGGGTAAGTGGCCTCTGGAGTCCCTTGGGAAACTTGCGACTAGAACTCCCTGGCTGTTCATGCCCCGAGGCCTGTCCATCCCTGCCCACTGGCCGAGGAGAGCATCATGACATTTTATTCATTTTTTTTTTTTATTTTTAATTTGTCTTGGTGAGGCTGGGGAGGAAACCCCAGCCAGGGTTTCACAACAAGCTAGGCAAGCAATCTGCCACGGAGCCACTTCCCCAGCCGAGCATCACAGAATTTTAGACCAGAGTAGTTTAGAGATGATCTAAGCGTCATCTCTATAGAAGGAAGGAGGATGAGTTTCAAAGATAAGGTCCAGAGAGGGAGGATGAGTTGCCTGAGGCCACACAGTATCTGTTTCTGACTGGTTCCTCTAAGCAGCCTCTGGTCTCTGGCTGTCTCTGCCGTCTTCCTGCTCTTTCATCTCTGGCTTCCCTCTGGGGCCTATTCTTTTTTACCCTCTTGATCAGGCAGTTTCCAAACACTCAGGGTAAATTAATTCACTGATGCAACCCAGCCCTCTCTCCTGCCAGACTTTCCCCAGACCCGTGAGAGAAGTTCACTGAGACAGCAACAGCACTGGCAGGTACCTTCAGTTCCTAGAACTTCAGTCACTGTAACACAATAAGGAAAACCAAGACTTCAGTGTTCAGGGAAACGGGGTTTGGTCCGGGTCTTTTAGACAAGAGCTGTGTGACCTTTAGCAAGTTACTCCACCTCTCGGAGCCTCCTTCCTTCTTTGTAAAATGGAAACAATGAAACCTACATCACAGGGTGGCTGTTGGAAGTCAATCAGATAATGGATGGAAAAGTGCTTTATAAACTGTAAAACAACACACAAATGTGAGGTCTTGCTTTTACTAGTGCTCTTTGCACTAGTGTTTTTGGTAGCAGTTTCCCAAGGAGGGCTGCTGGGCCATCTGCCCTTGGTGAGTCAATAGCAGTTAAAGAGGAGCAGCTGGGGTTGGGGGGTCAGGGGACTGGGACGCTGGGAGAACAAACTGGAGCTAAGCCCAGCATCACAAAAACACTTCTGCAGCCAAAAGATCCTAGGAAGAGGCTGTTACACACAGACCCAGGACGGGCCCCAGGGATCCCACCAGAGGCTCAGACACCAAACTGAGCAGGGTTTCAAACTGTGCTGGTTTATTCATCCTTGGCTGTCCTTCCTGCAGTCTCTCTCTCACCCATTCTTTGCCTGCCAATTACACAACCTCTCTGAGCTCCGCCTATGAAGGAGCGTCTATTAGATAAGCAGCCAGAATCCTCCACCATTGAAACTGGGCCAAGGAAAGAATCTGGGGTCTCTGTCTCCTGCTAAGCTGAAGACTGCTCAAGATTGACCCAGGTGGGGAAGGGCAGGCCTGGGGTGAGCTGGGGACACATGTGTAGGCCACAAAGACACCAGCCATTTTCCCTTAGAGTCTGTGGGCAGGAGGCTCGTCCCCCTAACCGAGGCACACTTGGGAATGTAGATGGTGCCTCCCACAGGTCTATGCTCAGGTCTGTCCAGTATGGTCCCCTGACACCAGGTAGTGCTCTCTGTAGGGACATTCCACCTTGCCCTAGAGGCAGCTTTGGTTTGTCATTTAAAAACGGGTCCTCGTGGTAGAATGAATCGGACGTGACCTTCCTATGTTCATATGTGACTACAAGATCAGGGTAGCTCCACATTATGTCCAACCATAAGAATGGGAAGTTATACTCCATGTATGTATGCCATGGCATAATGCACTCTACTGTCGTGATAACTCAAAAGAACACGTTTTAAAAAATTAAACAACAACAACAAAAACCCCAGGTTCTCGGGTTCTCTAGATGCAACCACACCTCCCTCTTACACCTCCTCTGTGCATGAGTTTGTGGATGGAGTATTTCTTGTGTGTCGAATGTGCTAATTCCTCCCAGGGTCTTAAGTAGACCTTATTCAAGCTAAATAGTTAGCATCTGCCCACTGATCCTCTCAGCCTTGGCCTTTTAGAGTGAAATGTCCAAATCCCTTTTAGGGTCTTTAAGGGCAGCCCATTCCTTCCCTTCCACCCGAGGTGTCCCTCCCATCTCCTCAGCGGCCATTTCCTGGACCAGCTCCTGCTCTGCACCTTCTACAAGGGACATGCGTGTGGCTGCCTTGCGCCCTCCTTAATGCACACTGGTGGGATCTAGTTAAAACAAGTGTGAAGGGTGGGACTGCCAGACAGAACACAGGTCAGTTAGATTTGAATTTCAAATAAACAATGAATAATTTTTAGCATAATATGCCACGTTTGGAAGTACGCCATATTTTTACTTATGAAATCTAGCATCTCCAACCAAGGCCCTCCTGAAGTGGAGGATGGGAGAGAATGGCTGATGGTGGCCCACACGACAGGGCAGAGTGACACTGGTCTAAGCTTGTGGTTGGCTGACCATCTGATTGATAGTCGGCCTCCAGTGACCCCTGCCTCCTGGCATTTCTGCCTCTGCGCAGTCCCCTCTGAGTGTGGGCTGGACTTACTGCTAAGGCAGAAAGTCCAGCAGAAGGGAGGGGCTATCAAAGATGAGATGAAGTCATAAAAAGACTGTGGCTTTTGTTTTGGTCACTCACTCTTGCTGTCTCTCAGAAGGCTCCAAAGGAAGCATAGAACGCCCTGTTTTCAGGCAGCCCCAAAGCCCATGCAAGCAAGCCTGGAACTAGGCCCAAGAACCCACTCATCTGATAGTCTTGATCATCACAGTCACTAACGAGCAGATAGGTCTTGGACAAGTCAGTTTGCCCCTCAGGGAAATGGGGGTTTGCAATGCCATGATCTCTGCCTCTCCTTCTCCCTCTTCAATACAGCAATTCTTTTTCCTGGAAGAGGATGATTTCAACTCTCTGAGGTCAAATCACACACTCCCTGGAAGTCTCCTGAGGTGGGTCACATGGAACACCCCTTCCTGAAGCCTTCCTTGAAGGCTTCTAAGGGGGAGAGGTACACCTGTCACTTCCCATCCTGAGCCAAAGCTGTCTCCCACCCCAGACACCTGAGCCCTGAGCAGAAGTGGCACCTGCCACTGTGCCCACAGTCCTGGTAGACTGTATTTGTGAATTTGGGACACCCTGCCCAATGCCCCCACGTACCTGAGCAGCTGATGGCTGCCATGGTGGACTCCTCACTGACTCCGTTGCTTGCAGTGCACTTGAACGCTGCATTCAGGTTGGTCAACTGATATCTAATGACCTTCAGATGACCTTGAGTGAGCCGTTTCCCATTTTGATACAGAATTAATTCAGGGTTAGTTCCTTTTATTACCTCACAGGTCAGGTTTGTGCTGTGACAATCCCAGGAGATCTTGGGTGTTGAGACCACCTCTAAAAATAAATAAAAATCCCAATATATTAGTCAATTTTCTGATTTTAATATTTAGACAGTGGGGAATGGAGTCAGTTTGAGACAGCACAATTTTTGAATTCCCTAGCAATTTTTGAAAATAATTTGTTTTTATTTATGTAGAGCATTCAGAACAAACTTAACTTCTGGTGAGTTTTTAGATACATTATACTGTTTAAAAGTATATAATAGTTATTGTTTTGTACTGTTTTGTACCTTAAAACAGTTTTACATACTTGGAATCATTTCGTTATGATAGAGAGGCTGATGTTTTTCTTCCCATGACAGATGGAAAGTCCTGGACTCTGAGAGGTTCAATGAGTTGTTTTAGGGTGCTCATTTAAAAATGGCACATCAAAAGAGGAGCCTGCCCCACCCCAATTTCAAGTTCAGGAGTACAGTTAAGAGGTTACCACATCCTGCCTTCCTTCCAGAGCAGCCAGGGACTCTGCCCTGGAGGAACAGGTAAACCTGTGGCCTGGGATCTTGGCCATGCACCCCCTCCCCCTGCTGGGGTCCTGGGAGCAGAGGGCCAGGTGGGCACATGGGTGCCTAAGGAGCTCAAGGCTTACAGAGGAAGGGCTCTAGTTGGGAAACCAGAGACCTGGCTCTGCCCTTTCCCAGCCCAGAGCTGCTTGGTCATTCTCTGTGCCTTGCTGGACCTCATCTTTGAGAGAATGATTAAAAAAAAAATGTTCCCCACCTGCCACAAAACGATGACATGTGACAAATCCCAGTGCACATAATTGGTAGCAGTGTTTATGTTCATAACCAGAAAAATCCCTGCCTCTCCTTTTCTGACGTGATTATATTTAAGGTCTGATTCAGAAAACAGCCCAGCCGTGGCCTTAGGTAAGGCAGGTCCTCCTCCCAGGCCTCCTCTCCCTAGCTGGGTGACCTCTTTTCTTCTCCTCTGTTCTTTTCCTGGCCCTTGACTCTCTTGACCCAGTATTCCCTTTCATTTTCTCTCCGGTCGTCATGTAGAGAGACAGCTTATTTCTTCACAGTTCCCTCCCTCTCTGTCTTTCAGATGAAAATACTTTCCAACTCAGTCAAATCTCATTGCTGACCGAATATGTATGGGCGTGCAGAAATGATTTCTTCCTATCCTGAGATTCTGTGTAGCCCAGAGTGAAGAAAATGGAGACGCGTCACCACGCTCTAGAGTAGTAGTCTAGGGCTGGGGTCAAGGTGTCTATCTAGAGTCTCCTAATTGGTAATATCCCATCATTGTAAAAACTGATAAAATATAAAATAGTTTAAAACACAAAAAAAAAATTACATGCAATTTAACTACCCATGGTCAAAAATTATTATTATTATTTTTCTTTTTTTGGTACAAGATTACCAAGTCCTTTTTATTTTGAGACAGTATCTCACTAAATTGCCTAAAGCCTCACTAAGTTACTGAAGCTGGCTTTGAACTCCTGATCCTCCTTCCTCAGCCCCCTGAATTGCTGGGATTACAGGTATGCGCCTCAATGCCTGGCATTGAATATTTTGATGTATATCTTTACTAGCTATTTTCTATACATGAACATGTATATCAATGATATTTTAAAAATTAAAATGGTATTATTATCCCACTCCTGGGTTTATACCCAAAGGATTTAAAATCAGCATACTATAGTAATGCTGCCACGTCAACGTTTATAGCAGCTCAATTCACAATACATAAACTATGGAACCAATCTAGATGTCCTTCAATAGATGGATGGATAAAGAAAATATGGTATATATAGTCAATGGAATATTACTTAGCTTTAAAGAAGAATGAAATTATGGCATTTGCCGGTAAATGGATGGAGTTGGAGAATATCATGCTAAGTGAAATAAGCCAATCCCAAAAAACCAAAGGCCAAATGTTTTCTCTTATATGTGGAGGCTAATTCACAATGGGGTGGGGGCAATAGAGAACATAGAGTTACCTTAGATTAGGTAGAGGGAAGTGAGGGGAGGGGAAAGGAGTAAAGGGAGGGGAGGGGTATAGGCATAGGAAGAATAATAGAAAAAAACAGACATTATTACTTTATGTGTATATATATATATATATATATATATATATATATTACTGCATGACCAATGTGATTCTATAACATGTACAATCAGAAAAATAAGAGGGGCTGGGGATGTGGCTCAAGCGGTAGCCCGCTCGCCTGGCATGCGCGGGGCGCTGGGTTCGATCCTCAGCACCACATAAAAATAAAATAAAGATGTTGTGTCCACCGAAAACTAAAAAAAAAAAATATTAAAAAATTCTCTCTCTCTCTCTCTCTCTCTCTCTCTTTAAAACAAAAAAGAAAAAGAAGAAATTATAGGGCTGGGGGTATAGCTCAGTTGGTAGAGTGCTTGCGTAGCATGCACAAGGCCTCTGGGTTCAATCCCCAGCATCACACACACACACACACACACACACGCACACACGCACACACGCGCGCACGCGCACACACACACAAACTGGCAAATCTTACTGTATGTTAATTGTACCTCAGTAAAACTGACAACAAAAAATTGTTTAAAAAAAGAAAAAGAAGAAATCATACTCATTTATGTATAATATATCAAAGCTCATAATTGCATTCTACTGTCATATATAATTAATTAAAACAAATTACAAGTTTTTAAAAAACTGGATTATGTGGTTTTATAGTCTGCCTTTTTCCCTCTCAGTAGAAGTTATATTATGAAATTCTTTCTTTCCTGAACATCAATAAATGTGCATCTCCACCATTTGATGCATTCTTGACATAGTTACTAAGTTCCTAACTGCCAAAGACTTCTCAATCCACACAGTATCATACTAGTGTAAACAATGCAGTCACAAATAGCCTCAAATGTGAGCTGGGATACAGCTCAGTTGGTAGGGTGCTCGCCTCACATGCACAAGGCCCTGGGTTCAATCCCAAGCCCCACCAAAATAATAATAACAAAAACAACAACAACAATAATAATACAACAACAACACAAAGTCTGAAAAAACAAATAGCCTCGAATGGTGAATTTTTGTACATGTCCTCACTGTAAGAGAGTGTTCTAGGAAATGGCCTGACCTGGTTAATAGCAGCAAATTGTTAGGTCCTGCTCATAGGTGAGAACTCCTTAATTCTGGGCTGCTAGGATTAAGTTCTGCTCTACTGATATCTGCTTGAATGGAGCCCTCCACTGCCTCTTCAGCTAACAGGAGCAGCCTCCTCGGTAAGGAGATGCGGGTACCATGACTGAGGCTGCGAGAGGCATCGAGGAACTAAGAGAGGGGCTTGGCCATTAGCACAGAGCACGCAGGGGTAGTGTCCCAGGCCGTCTAGGGCACCTTTTCATACACGGTCTCATTGAATATCCCTTGAAGTTATTACAGGTGGAGCATCCCTAATCCTCAAATCCAAAATGCCCTAAAATCCAAAACATTTTGAGCAATGACATGGTGACATAAGTGGAAAATTCCACATCACGAAACTTTGTTTCATTCTTGAAATTATTGAAAATATTGTATAAAATTACTGTTGGGCTATGAGTACAAAGTGCCTATGAAACAAATGAATTTCATATTTAGACTTGGGTCATAGCCCCAAAATATCTCATTATATCTATGCAAATATTCCAAAATCTTAAAACAGCCCAAATCCAAAATACTTTCAATCCCATACATTAAACTGTATTGGGAAAAAATAGACTCAGACCAGACAGATATTTGCCAAAACTATGGGACAAGTAATGATGTTGGACCACAAATCGAATAATGACGCTGTGTAAAGTTGACGTGCAAACATCCAGTAAAGTCGCTGACTGTAAAGGGTGCAGGGTTTTTTGGGGGGAGGGTAACAAAAATGTTGATTGTCGTGATGGTTGTAGAGCTCTACGAATGTATGTAAGGCTATTGAATTTTACATGTTAAATGGGCAACTGGCATGTATGAAGACACGAATGGTGTGACTACTTGTGTACAACCCCCCGACATGAAAAATTGTGCTGTATATGTGTAATATGAACTGAATCACATTCTGCTGACATGTATAACAAATTAGAATAGATAAAATAAAATAAACAAGTAAATGGGCAACTTGGACAGCATATTGATATCTCGACCAAATTGAGAGTTGGAGGGAGGGACCAGTCCTTGCCAAGAGGACCCCTGGGTTTGAATCCTGACTTTGTTCCTGTCAAGAAATGAGAACTTGAACAAAATTCCTCCTGACCGAGGCTGTTTTCTTATAGACGATAAGGAGATAATGACTACTAGCTGTCAGGATTCTTGGGAGCTTTAAGTAAGATTGTGTCAGCAAGCCCATGACACCTGGTAGCCATCATGATCACCATGATTCTAAATACGGCCCAAATGTGATTGAACCAGCATGGACACCTGAGCCATGCTAGTGGAACTCAAGATAACACAGTCCCCAGCGCTCGTGACACCACGGTCCCCAGGGCTCATGATCAGAGGCTATTCTTAGTCCCAGCCCGTTCCTCCAAGTTTCTTTCCAGTCAAGCTTGCAGAACTAGAGTGTGGAAAGGGGTCATTTTCAGGAGAGTTAACAGCATCTGAACTATGGGAGGGGGCTGCTGCCAGGTTTGGGGGCCCACGGAGACCCTAGGCAGGAGGAAGAGACCCTGTGTCTGGTGATGACATTTCCTGTGTGAAGCACAGAATTGTTTGTTTGCTCACGGAAGCAGCTTCCTCCCAGCTTCAGTGGTATTTCAATTCCCCTTCTTCTTCCTTCTGCTTCTCACCCAATCCCCCTTGCCCCTATATCCCCACCCATGACCCTCAGCATAACCATCCCTTCTCATTCCACCCTTTAGTCTAGGCCAGGGATTACCAACTTTGGCTACTAAACAGAACCACCTGGGGAGCATTACCACTTACTGATGCCTGGGCCCCAGGCCCAAAATTCTGATACACATGGTCTTAGATGGGACGCCGGCCCTGGTCATTTCTAACAGCATCCCTGTTGATTTGCATGGGTAACCAAGGTGAAGAACCACCCAGCAGCCCTCTGCACCTTGCTAGGATTATAGCAGCCGTTTTCCAGCCAGTCTCCCCACCTCCCACATCGCCTACCACGCCTACCCTCTCAGCACATGCAGAGACAGGCAATATGTACTTTTCTTCACATATCAGCAAAAAATCACCTTCCACCTCAATTGCCGTGCTATGGAGCAGATTGGAAACAAAGGCTGTTCATCCTTAAATCCATCATTTCCGTCCCTTTCCTGCTATCTAAACTCTTCAGGGTACCCTCGCCTGAAATTGGCTCTCCAAGCAGCCTGTCCTTCCCAGCCCACACCTCGCTCACGGGGGACAGCCAGTTTTCCTGTGCCCACCTGTCCCCTTTCATCCAGATTCTTTACCTAGCTCCGCATCCTCAAAGCCACCCAAAGAGAGGGCTGTAGGCAGATGAGGTTGTATTTCTCCATGTGTAGACCCTACTCCCCCCCCACCCACTCACAGGACTGGTGTCTCCACTGGGGCAGGAGGGATGCACTGGATTTCCCGTAGCGCAACCCCAGAGGCTGAGGGCAGGGTTGGGGACGTTTCACAATCACTAGTTCCCAACTTGCTAAACAACACCCCTGTTAAAGTGAAAAAAATGTAGAGAATGGAGACTTACCTAGAATCCTCAAATCAAATGATTGTTCCAGAACCCTTTTTCCATCTGTATCATATACAACTACGTTGTAGGTACTATTATAATATCCCTTCAGATGTTTAATTTTCAGAGTTCCATTTGCTAATATCTCGTAGGTTTCATTATGCCGGGAAGGTTGCCTGCCTTTTCTGAATTGCGCAACCATGATCCCTTCTTTGTCCCATCGTATGTCATCAATAGCATCTCTCATTTGAAAATTGGGGATGTCCAGGTTGATCTCTCGATCCAAGTCACTGCAGACGATCTTGATGGCTTTAGAGACTGAACCTGTAAAAAGCGAGACACTCATTGAGGTGTTCAGGCTCCCTACCAGAAAGTGAGGCTGTGAAAACTTCGATACTATTTCAGGGTCTCCAAAGAAGCTTCTCACAGTGACTGTGAAGACCCACACACCCACTTACTTACCTGGGTTGGGAAAGTTGAAAATCAGAAGAAAGCCGACCAAGATTTTACACCGGTGGCTCATCTTTGGGATTAGTTTCCTTGTGGCAGTTCTGAGCTCTTCTTGCAAAAGGAACTGAGGTTGAAACTGGAAGAGTCCACCCCACTGAATGCTAAACCACGTGCCTCTCCTTTGTGCTTTTTTTTTTTTGACAACATAGAACACTCACATACACATTTAGCACATACAGCCTTTCTGATGCACTCCTTTGCTGAAACAGTTGTGGTTATGAGTTTGTGCTTTCTTATCATACTTTATTTATTTACTTACTTAGTACTGGGGATTGAACCCAGAAATACTTTACCAGTGAACTACATCCCCAGGTCTTTTTATTTTATTTATTTATTTACTTAGAGACAGGGCCTCACTAAGTTGCTGAGGCTGGTCTTAAACTTGTGATCCTCCTTGCCTCAGCCTCTGGAGACGCTGGGATTATAGGCACGAGCCACCACATTTTGCAAGAATTATACACGCACCACCACACCAGCTCTTACCACATTTTAATCCTCACCAAATAAAAAAAAAAAATAGGGGAAGGTACTTTATCAATCCAATGAAGAGAAAACGAACGGAAAGGTTAAGTTGCCCAGGACTGTTCTTTTGTAAGCAAAGAGCCAAATTCGATGATCCAGCCCCTCTTCTACCCACTCAGCTATCTTGCCTCTAACAGAACCACCTAGAAACATGGGTAGCTGTTCTTAAGTGAATAGAAAAATGAAAATATTTATCCTATGATGATAAATACTGGAAAATGTATACACATGAAATGATTAGGAATGGATTTTTTCCTCTTTCCTGAAAAGATATTTTTAATGTTCTAAAATTGTTTATGTTATAAAAAGGAAGAAACACAAATTGAGTCTCAGCTGTAAATGCTTAAAAATCTCCAAATCTTCTGTTTAGCACATATTTTACAACTCTTGAAATTCACCGTTAGGTAAATAAAACCTTGTTGCAAAACATGTAAGAGGCACGGAACCTATGAAAACCAACCAGATAGAAAAATATCTAAGGTGGTCAACATTGCAGATGGTGAAAGAAAGGGAGCAAGAGGGAAAAACAGAGAACAAGAGAACAGGGAGGGGAAAAAGAGGAAATTTGTGACACTGGGAGAGAGTGATGCAGAGATGGGTGTCTTCTGAAAAGGATGCCCTGTGAGATCCGGCACAGGAAACACGGAGAGCCCAGGAACAGATTTCCAAGGGAAGTTTTCAGTTTGAAGATTCATCAGGACACAGTGAGCAAAAGTTTTAAAAGTAGTGCTTTTTTAGGTTTTGTTTCTCAACGTCAGATACAGAAACAGATATTATCTGTCAGAAAGTTGCCCAGGAAATGCAATGAAGTCAAAGCAGTGGATTGCTACTGCTGTGTGAAAGGAAGCCTAAATAACGTATTCACCTCCTGTTGTGTAATAAACCCCTCACTCACAACACTCATGATGACAGATGACAATTGGATTAAAATTTTCAATGCTATAAAACTGTAATACTGCTTAAAAGACAATATAGAAAGACGTTTTTATATCTTTGGGTACAGAAGGCCTAACTACATGTATCACACAATCCCAAAGTAATAAAAAAAAAAGATGAACATCATTGACTACATAAAAAAATGTAAAATTATAATTTTCACATATATTGCAAATATTTTGTCACGTCTTTTCATTTTTTACATTATTTCTTGCCTATACATAAATTTTTAATCATCAAGGAGAAAAAAAAAAGCTTTTAAAATGGGCAAAGGATATAAATTATCAGCTTATAGAAGAAACATCAAACATGAGTCTAACTTCACCCAAAAATATAGATATCCTAGCCATAAAGCACCATCATTACCATAGGGTTTGCAAAATTATTAAAGGCAATAATTTACATTATTATCAATCTGTGTTTATGTGTGTGGTGCTGGGAATTGAAACCAGGGCCCCATGCATGCTAGGCAAGCATTCACCTTTACTGACACGAATGTCGGGGGCTAAAGTCCCTTTTTTAATATATCAACTTCTGTGAAGTTCGAAATTCTGTTAAAGGACACCAACTTTTTCTGTAATAATTTTAAAAAATAATAAAGTAAGCTTAAGGCACACATTTTCCCCCTAAAGTATATGTAGACTCTGAGAAATAATTAGCTTGTAGCTTCTTTGCTTGTAAGTGACTAACCCACCAGCCACCCGTCTAAAGCCAGCCCTGGTGACAATCATTGTTCAGTTTACTTCTGATCAATCGATCCATCTATTCTCTCTCTTTAATTTTGGAGTTGGGTACTAGGGATTGAACCCTGGAATGCTCTACCACTGAGCTATATCCTCAGTCCTTGTTATTTTTTGAGACAGGGTGTCTCTAGTTTGCCCAGGCTGGTCTTGAACTCGCCACCCTCCTGCCCCAGCCTCTGTGGCATTAAAGGCACGCACCACCCTACCCAGCGTGCCTCTGCTTTTAAGACAGGTTGCTTCCTCTTCCTCTCATTTGCCTGATAGTTTTTCCAGTGCTCTCACAGACCAAATGGAAAGCTGCTTTCTGTTCTTTTTTTTTTTTTTTGAGACTTTAACTCTCCTCCTCTCACGTCTAAATTAATTGGGAGTCATGAGCATGTCTTCAAGGGCAGAAACCATGAAAAAGAAAGGGATTCATAGGTATGACTGCAAAATTCTAAACTTTTGTATGTAAAAACCTATTTAAAAATTTAAAGGCCAAGTACTAAAAGAGACAAATTATTTGCAAGATACTTGACAAAGGCTTAATATCCTTTAAATTAATTTTTTCTTGGGCTGGGGCTGTAGCTCAGAGGCAAAGCACTTGCCTAACATGTGTAAGGCACTGAGTTTGATCCTTAGCATCACATTAATATAAATAATATAATATAATATAAATAATATATAACATAAATAAATAATATAAATATAATAACAATATAAAGTAAATAAATTATTTTTTCTTGTAAATGTAGTAAGAAAAGATAGACACCTTCTTAATAATATGGGTCAAGGTCCTAAAAGGAGAAATTAACAAAATAAAATACACAATTAAGGGGCTAGAGATGTGGCTCAAGTGGTAGCTCACTCGCCTAGCATGTGTGAGGCACTGGGTTCGATTCTCAGCACCACATAAAAATAAAATAAAGATATTGTGTCCACTAAAAAACTAAAAAAACAAAAAGATCCAATTAAATAAGAATTCTTGAAAATACAGTTTATTTATACAGAGATGCCCATCTTAACACAGATACGTTTTCAATTTTCATTTAAAAAAAAAACACCCAGTGTTGATGTGGGTAAAAATGCTTTAGTAGAAATGCAAATAAGTGTGATTTCTGGTGGACAATGTGTCATGTGAATCAGAAGCATTGGAAATATTTTTATTCTGACCCAAGTCCACAAGGATAATTTTTTTCATAAGAAAAAAAATGAAGGATCAGGACTAAGATTTGACTATAAGCTTATATACTACAATATTAAACTGAAATTGGAAATAATGTAAATGTCTAAGAAAAAAATTAATAGGTAAATCATGGTATGGACAAGCCATGGAAATATGAAAAATCAGGACCCAATTGTAAGAGAGAAAAATAAAATCTTTTTCTTCTACCCTTCTTAGGTACTCCAGCCTTGTGATTACATTGGAAAAAGACTGATTAACAAGAGGAAAACACCGAAGTTCATGAACATGTGCATAGGGGAGCACCTGGTGAGGAGGGGTGGTTAGAACCAGGCTTATATACCACATTAGGCTAAGTAAATAAAAAGGGGCTGAGGGATCCTGGGGGTTGGGGGAAAGCAAGTCATGGGATGACCAGGAAAGGTATGTTAAACAAGGGCTGCTTAATGAAAGATCTGTTTCTAGACTGAACTCAGTACCGGAAAGGGAGTAGCCTTTCACAATGAATGAATGCTTCCTTTATCAATGTAACTTTCCCTCCCAAAAGGAATCTTGGTGCCCTATGTTTAGAGCTTTTCCTGCCTCTGCTCATTCTCAGTGGCTTTTAGTTCAGAATAATCCATGTTCCAAAGAGGTGTTTCAGAGCCTTATATCCTGGTACCCTTCTCAATAAATGATGCAATCTCATTTTATTTATCAAAATAGTGTGTTTGAGCGTATGTCTTTTGGAATGAGGTCCCTGTGTAGTGGGATAAGAACTGTCTTTCTGCTGTCTTTGGTTGGTGTTGCTATTCTATTATTTATCTATGGAATTCACTGGGTTTTGGTTGATTTTTAACTCTAAGTGGGCTTTGTAACAGCTCCAAGGATGGAGGGTGGGTGCAGTCCTGCCTGTGAGTGCCAGTGTTTCAGGAGAACATCTGGTCGATGACTCGGTCCAGCTTCTCAGTAGTCTAAGGCCTACCTCCTCCTCTATCTCCACCCATCATTTTTTTAATTCAAACTAATCCTCCTGGGAGATGGACTAACAGGAAGAGACCAAGAAACGGAGGAGGAAGACAAAAACGTTCTCAGAGGTCTTGCTTTTGGATGAGATCCCTGGCTAGCAACATGCTGAAAGTCCAGCTCCACTTCCTCCTATGCCAAGGGAACTCTCTAGCAAGATTTAGGTCTAGAGGACACGGTGGTCAAATTCCATTTTCTGATTCACATCCTACTGAATTTCTTGAATTGTGAGATTTCAGAGGAGAACAAAATTCAAAAGGGATCTCTCTACAATTCAGTTGAAGAAGGTTCTAGGGATGCATCTGCCCACCTCTGCCAACCCAGTGCCCAATCCTCAGCTCCTTGGACCTGTGCTACAAACCCTGGGACCCTCTGGCTTCATCCTGAGACCTCCCAGCCGTCATTTCTGCCTCTTACACCTGGCTTGCCCCTACACAGGGATCACTAAGTCCTACCCACAGAGCTATAGAATGCCCCTCCCCTCTCCAGTCCAGCCACTTGTGCCCTCACAATGCCTTCCCACAGATTCAAGGGAGAAACTCAAAAAAGCAGCCCCATGTGTAGCACTTTTTACTAAAAACTGGCTTCAGTGCTTATCAGAAAGGCTGCACCATGGGTCTCTTTGCAGCCAGGTCCTGTGGATGTCGGGCTTGGTTGTATCTAGGATAAGATCAAGAGCTGCATCCGCATCAGATTCCAGAGGTGTCGTCCCTGCCTGGGGATGTGCTGGGT